GATTGTGAAAGTTTGAGATGGACTAAATTTTGAACTACTAAATAGAGTATACATTAATATGTGTGAAACTGCACTTTAATGCTTTTTTGTATACGGTGTAATTACTAGTTTTGTTGTTGTTGGGGGGGGGGGGTGGGTGGAGAGGATTTTGCAGTACCAAGTATTATAATATTGTAGCATTTTGCCCATTCTTGCCATTTAGCATGTTGATGAACAAGCTAGCAGTGCGAGAACTTCTGCAATGAGGTTCTGTTGTAATACTATTATCTTATTAATGAATTTATATTTTACACCGTACATTTAATTTTTGATTGATGTAGTCTTTCCATTGATCTCATAATAATTGGTGTATCCAGGTGAAGCTGACATTTGAGGAGCCAGAATCTGGTGTCACTGTGGTTAAGTTGGTTCAGACTGATGTTCCCGAGGAAGACAGGTTGGTTGTAGTTTAGGATTTGTCTTATATGTTGTACATATGATGCCTTCTGGTTCTTGATAGATTATTGGTATGCTTTCTATCTGATGCAGATATGGGAATGAAACTGTGGTGGAAAACACAGAGAGAGGCTGGCGAGATCTGATCTTCCAAAGGATTCGAGCTATCTTTGGCTTTGGACTTTGACCACTCAACTAAAAATATTCCTTTGCCATTTCAAGTGTAACGCACTAATTGATATATTCCTTGTTGTTTAGCCATGAATGTTATTTGTTGAAGTGGCTGGACTAATTTTCAGATGATCATGAAAGTATCGTGGACAATATTGTGTCTCCATCTGTCATAGTATCATGTAACAGTGGTTATTTTCAGAAGTTTTGAAGTAATGAAGAGGCTCTTCTCTTCTGATTTTTGTTGGTTTTGTTTTTCTGATTTGATGCAGTCCATTGCTCTCAGTTTCCTCATGTTTGTTAGCTTAACTACTACATAAACCCTGATCAATGAGCATCTTTTCTTCCATTTTCTTTGTGTTTGTTATTAGTCTACACCCTGATAATTGGGCATCTGAATTATTTTGACTTATAACTATTGAGCATAATAAAAGGGAGGGAGCTGATGTTTTTGCTGCCTAGTTAGCAATCCTTTTGTCCTAACAAGCTATGCTCAAATGTAAATGTCCAGCTGTTGAAACTGAAACGGATTGTATACCTTGTGCCAACTATTTAAGTGTCCCAACAAAAGAGATTGTGGTTTGATGTGTTCAGTATTCCCCAATAAACTTAAGCTACATTTTTGTACTTAAACTACATTTTTGTTACTCTCCTTACATTTTGTATTGTTACATATTGACTTTGGTGGTTAACGTGTAAGAACTTTGACTATGAAATATACTACCGTATTACAAGATTAAGATCATATTATAGGGGTGGTGTTAGATTTGTCTTGAAATGAATTTTTAAATAAACCAAGATTGGAAGAGCAAATCCCCTCCTTTTGTCTTTCGTATTTGTACTAAGGTCATCGGATTGGATTCGAACCAATCATCTCTGATACCCTTTAGTAGATCATTTGTGGGTTTGTCGTCCTCTTCATTATAGTCCTTCTAGATGCCGCAAGTGAACTACAGTTGAAGCTTTCGGTTCCCCGTCCTCGGGAGGTTGACTAGGGGCCTCCTCTCCTTGCGGCAGGTGCTTGAAAATATTAGTGGTAAAAAAACATGTGCATTTGAAGATCGTAAAGAGTAGTGTCACAAAAAAAAAAAAAAAAAAAAAAGATGGAGGAAGTATTTTGGAATTATATTCAATCCCTACAAGGCAACTAAATTCTTTAAGTCTATGCAAATATTATTCTAGAAGGATTTCACACGATAATGGTTTGGCTTACGTTTTAGAGCCAAATACGAATGTATGATCCTAGATAAATTCAAGTACTAAGAAAAAATAAGCAAGGAATGATGTTTCAAGAGTTAAGATTTTTATATAAATACAAGTGCCGCTTTGTTCTTTTTTATCTAATTAGTTTTGCTTTATTTCTTTTATGGTAATAAAAAGTGCCGCTAATATAGTTAATATTAAAAATTTATATAAACCATGATTTATATAAGTAATAATGACATTGATAATTAGGAACAAAGTTACAAGTAGTGTCAAAAAGTACGTAGTAGTAGTTAATATTTTAAAAATATAAGTAATATTAAGTAATACGTATTTATATTATATAGAGAAGAAAATTACCATTCAAAGGTTCTATGGTGTAGTGGTTAGCACTCTGGACTTTGAATCCAGCGACCTGGGTTCGACTCCCGGTAGGACCTCTTTAGAATTTTTTTTTTCTTTTTCTTTTTCTGAATTGCTATTTGACGAAATAAAAATACTCAAGCTAACAATGTTAATTACCTTCATACCAATGCCACCACCACCACCACCACACCGCCACTTTGATGAACGCATAATTATGCAAAATTAAACCAAATTAAGGACGACACATATTAGATGCAAAATTATTAATTTTGACTAATTATGAAAATTCGAATTAGATGCAAAACATTAATTTTGACTAATTGACTAATTATTTCGAAAGATTTAAAAAAAAACGAATTTAAATTTTTTTTAAAGAAATATCGGTGGACATCTGTAGGAGATGTCTTTAATGTGGTAGGGACATAGACTTTTTTTTTTTTTTTTTTTTATTATTAATTTTTTTTTTCTGAATTGCTATTTGACGAAATAAAAATACTCAAGTGCTATTTGACGAAATAAAAATACTCAAGCTGACAATGTTAATTACCTTCATACCCTTACTTTCAAATGTTATTACATCCTCACCCATACTTGCCTTCAAACCACAAGTTCATACCACCACACCACAATACCTACACTGCCACCACCACCACCACCACCACCAGTTTGATGAACGCATAATTATGCAAAATTAAACCAAATTAAGGACGACACATTTTAGATGCAAAATTATTAATTTTGACTAATTATGAAAATTCGAATTAGATGCAAAACATTAATTTTGACTAATTATTTTCGAAATATTTTAAAAAAAAAAACGAATTTTAAATTTTTTTTTAAAGAAATATCGGTGGACATCTGTAGGAGATGTCTCTACCGTGGTAAGGACATCTCCGACAGATGTCTTTACCAATGGAAGAACATCTACAACAGATGTCCTCCACGTGGTGGAGACATCTGAAGGAGATGTCTCTACTGTGGAAGGGACATCTCCGACAGATGTCTCCACCACGTTGAGAACATCTCCGACGGTGGTGGCGTCTATCTCGCGCTTGCCCTTATCGACGGAGCCTCGCCGGTGTTGCGTGGTGGGCTGCTGCCGTCATGAAAAGGTTGTTGTCGTTTAGGCCCTGGTCGACGGAGCTCGGCCGGTGTTGCGTGGTGGGTTGCTGCCGCCGTGAAGAGGTTGTTGTTGTTTAGGTTGGTGTTGTAGGTGTGGAGGTGATATGTGTGTTTTATATACTATAAATTATCCCCCGTCCCACGGTCATTTTTATGCATATTTGTGCTCTTCGGGGCTATTTTTAGTACTAATGTGTGGTTTCGAGTATTTTGTAGAGTTGTCATTTGTTTTGTAGGAATTTACTGGATTTGTCGGTAATTTCTATGGTTTTCCGGCCACTACGAGAAATCGAAGATTATTTTCACATACATGATCGTCTTTCATAGCCCAAGACCGATTATTTCGGTGACTAAGGGCTTGGTTCGTGGAATTGGTCCAAGTAATGGACCAAGGAAGAGGAATTGGGCCACAAGTGTTTAGAGGCCAAAGGAAAAGAAGAAAAAGGACCGGGCCCGATCGGGCGAATGCCCAGAAAGGCAGTTTGAGAAAATAGGCGAGCCCGATCGGGCACGTGTTTTTCCTGGGGAGTTTAGGACCTGTCGTTTTAGTTATTTTTGGGTTTAGTATTTAAACACTTTTTGTAAGCTAAATTAGCTACGCTTTTACATTATAATTTTCATTCTTAAAATTTGAGAGAGATTTTAGAAAAAGATTATTGTTGAACTCAAGTTTTCCCCTTTTAGTGCAATTTCACATTTCCTTCATTTGGTATTATTTCTCGTCTTTATCGCTTTATTTATTGCTTTGTTATTTTGTGCTTTGATTTGAATCATGTTTTCTTTATATGCTTTGATTAGTTTAGATTTAATTATGTGAGAGTAGTTAATTTCTAGGGTTCTAGGGGGATCCATAATTAATATGAAGGGATAAATTGTGTTGGTTGATTATTGATATTGCATAATAATTTCTTATTGAATTGTTTTAATTCCTTACAATTGGATTATGAATCGAGCAGATGTGATATGATTGTAAGAGTATAGTAATATTGAATTGATGAATCGAGCATATGTTAATTTGATATTAAAGGCTATTTTCAATAGGAACTTTGATCTAGTAAATTGCGAGAGCCTGTTAGATCTATGTTGATTAATAAATTGCGAGAGCCTGTTAATCATGTTATGTTTGAAATATTAATTCTTGATTGTTATATTTTATCCCGGAGTATTAATTATTGGTGAACCTGTGACCCTAGGATTTTTATTATTGGTTATTCCCTTAGATTAATTCATTCAAACCTTATTTGTTTCTTGATAATTTAGATTATAATAATAAATTAGGAATAAAAGAATGTTGTTTCCCTGTGGATTCGACCCTACTTCCCTATTTTTTTAATTAGTGGTCTTAGGAATTACTTTTGATTAGGTGATACGACTTTAGCCTGTCAAATTTTTGGCGTCGTTGCCGGGGAAACGGTTTTATTTTTATTTCTGATTATTTTTGTAGTCTAGATTATTTTCTTTCGTCTCAGAGAACGCAAGGTCTTTGAGATATTTTCTCATATTTAATTTGTTTGTTTAGTTCTGTGTTTATGCCCAGGAGTTCTAGATTGGGTTACATTCCATTCGATCCTGAAATCGAACGTTCATTTCATAGATAGAAGAATCTTTTCAGACAAGTACGAGCTACTTCCGAGGGTAATACACCTTTGGAACCTTTATCTGATTCTAGCGACATAGAAGTTTCTTCAGAACCAGAATCAGAGATGGCGAATCCGCCACCACCACCACCTCGCAAGCTAAAAGATTATTCGCAGCCATCCCTGACAGATTTCCCACATCTTGCTCCTACACCAAATCTCGAAAGAGTATAATTCGAGATTAAACCCCAGTTTATTACTATGATCGAAAAGAAGCAATTCAGCGGAGCTAAGGGTAAAGATCAAAATCTTCATACTTTAGACTTCTGCCAATATTGCAACACCATCAGACAAGCTGGGGTCAAGCAGGAGCAAATCAGGGAGATTTTTTACCCCTTTTCTTTATGTGGTTAGCGAAATTGTGGTATAATGGATTGAATAGGATTGCCCTTGGTATTACTGAATAGATTTCTCTTGCTATGAATTTCTATAATAAATATTACCCTGCAGAAAGGATAGCTTTGTTAAGGAGTTCGATCCAAAATTTTGCCCAAGAAGCTGATGAGTCTTTATATGAAGCTTAGGAAAGATTTAAGGATTTGCAAAGAGAATGTCCCCATCATGGGCTAGCACAGTGGCAGATAATCCAAGCCTTCTAAAACGGGCTTGGAAATTCATCCACATCAATCCTAGACTCAACAGCTAATGGAAGATTTATGAATCTTCAAGAAGATGTAGCAAGAACAGTTATAGAAGAGATGGTAATTCATAATTCCCAATATGGGAATCCTAGAGGCTTTGCAAACAAAGGGAAACATAATGTCGATTCCGTATCCTTTGTGCAAGCTCAATTAACCTTTATTTGTCAGAAATTAGATAATATTAGTACTGCTATTCCTGCTTCCATGGTTAATGTTTCTGCTGTCAATAATACTAACAATGCTTTTTGTGAAAATTGTGGAATTGTAGGTCATTGAGCACAAGATTGTAGGAGTTCCATGGAGCAAGTTAATGCCTTCCAAGCCTATAGGCAAAATAACCCATACTCTAAGACTTATAATCTGGTCTCCGAAACCATCTAAATCTTACCTACCGGAGTACTAATGTGCTAAACCCTTCACCTCCACAACAACCACAACAGCAAACCCCACATCAACCACAAAAAAATATTACCAACCTCCTAACCAGAGGACCCAACCACAAACTCCTCCTCCATCTACTGACCCTGCCCTATTAGAAATTAAAACAATGTTAGATAATATGTAGAATCAGATGCAGAGTAGGGATGCACAAATTGATTCGATCCTAGCACATAATAAAATCATAGATAATCAAATTGCGCAAATTTTCTCTACTCTGCAAACTTGCCAGCACGGAGCTCTTCCATCGCAGCCAGTACAACCTACAGATCATGCTAATGCAATTACCCTGAGAAGTGGTTCACACTATGATGGGCCCTCCATGCCCAAAGATGATGAACCTATTATAACAAAAAATGGTAATCCTGATTCTGTTATATCAAATGGTATTGTTACTAGCCCTACAGGGCCCTAGGATAAAACTAACTCTTCTGATAAATCTTTGCAGGGTAAAACTCAAGACAAGAGTGGAGATGTGCAGAGCCCCACTATCCAACTTACATTCTCAAAAAGATATCTAAAGAATAAGTTGGATAAGCAGTTTGGTAAGTTCTTGGAGGTTGTTAAGAATTTGCAGGTAACGGTTCCTTTCATTGATTTAATCACACAGGTTCTTGCATATGCTAAACTCATGAAAGATATTTTGGCTAGGAAGAGAGCCTTTAATGAGGTAGAGACTGTAGCTTTTACTGAAGAATGTAGTGCATTACTACAAAGCAAATCTGCACCCAAATTAAAAGGATCCTGGTAGTTTCTCTATACCTTGTCATATCGGAAATGTTTTCATTGATAAAGCATTTTGTGATTTGGGTGCTAGTTTTAGTGTAATGCCATCATCTGTGTGTTCAAAGCTTAATATGGGTGATTTAAAAGTTACTAATATTACCTTGCAAATGGCAAATCGTTCTGTTAAATACCCTTTAGGTATTCTAAATGATGTTCCTATTAGGGTTGGTAAATTTTTTATCCCTGTTGATTTTGTTATTTTAGACATGGCTGAAGATACACAAATTCCTATTATTTTAGGAAGACCTTTCCCTCACATTGCAGGGGCCATAATTGAAGTTAAAAATGGAAAACTCATTCTTTCTATAGGGGATGTTAACATCACCTTCAATTTAGGGAGAGTTATGAAAGGACCTATGCTAGAGGAAAAATGCTGCAGTATTGATGTTATTGATATTATATGCCATGATAGCTTACCCCAAGTTCTCACCCGAGACCCCTTAGAGGAAGTACTATATTGTGATTTTACTGTAGGGGATGCTGGCATATAGGTTAGAGAGGTGGATGAAATTGAGCAAGCTCTAGTGAATGAGCAACTTAGCCCTGATGAGAATGATAAGGTAGAAAATTTAATTCAGGAATTGTACTTTGCAGAGGTAAAGAAACCTGAACTTAAACCTCTTCCTTCACATTTAAAATATGTATTTATTGATGAGCAAAAACTGCACCCTGTGATCATTAGTATTGCACTCGATGACCCCCAAACTTCCCAACTTCTAGAGGTTCTTTGAACCCGCAAAAGGGAAAATGGGTACAATATTGATGATCTAAAGGGTATTAGCCCTGACTTTTGTATGCACGGGATACACCTAGAAGACAATCACAAGCCATGCATTTAACCACAAAGGAGGTTGAATCCTAATATGCAGGAAGTTGTAAAAAGGGAGGTTATGAAGCTACTTGATGCAGGTATTATTTATCCTATCTCTAACTCAAAGTGGGTAAGTCCTGTTCAGGTAGTTCCTAAAAAGGGTGGGATGACAGTAATTAAAAATGATAAAAATAAATTGATTCCCACTAGAACTGTAACAGGATGGCGGATGTGCATTGATTATCGTAGATTAAATACCGCCACTAAGAAGGATCACTTTCCCCATCTCTTTATTGACCAAATGTTGGAAAGGTTAGCTAATCATAATTTTTTCTGTTATTTGGATGGGTATTCGGGATTCTTTCAAATCCCAATTCACCCATACGATCAGGAGAAAACCACATTTACATGTCCTTATGGTACTTTTGCTTATCGTAGGATGCCCTTTGGATTATGTAATGCACCTGCTACTTTTCAGCGTTGTATGATGAGCATCTGTTATGAATTTATAGAGTGTATTATAGGTCTTTATGAATGGTTTTAGCGTGTATGGATCCTCATTTGGTGTTTGTCTAGCTAACCTCACTAAAGTTTTGAAAAGGTGTGAAGAATGCAATTTGGTTTTAAATTGGGAAAAATGTCACTTCATGGTGACACAAGGTGTAGTCCTAGGTCACATTGTTTTTTATCAGGGTATACAGGTGGACAAAGCAAAGGTAGAAGTGATTGAGCAATTACCCCCACCAGTGAATGTTAAAGGGGTAAGGAGTTTCCTTGGTCATGCGGGGTTTTATCGTCGCTTCATCAAGGATTTTTCTAAAATTGCTAAACCACTAACCCAACTTTTACTTAAGGATGCTCTATTTGTTTTTACTGACCAGTGTCTTGAGTCTTTTAACAGGATTAAGAAGGCTTTAATTTTGGCTCCTATCATATGTGCTTCGGATTGGAACCTTCCATTCAAGATCATGTGTAACGCGAGTGATTATGCAGCAGGCACCGTGCTATGCCAAAGGAAGGACAAAGTTTTGCATGCTATTTATTATGCAAGTAAAACTTTGGATGAGGCTCAAGTTAACTATGCCACCACATAGAAGAAGTTTCTTGCTGTGATTTATGCCCTAGAGAAATTTAGATCATACTTGGTTGGTTATAAAATTATTGTTTTTACTGACCTTGTAGCATTGAAGTATCTCATTGCCAAGGGAGAGACCAAGCCCAGACTTGTTCGTTGGGTGCTCTCGCTCCAAGACTTCGACTTTGAAATTAGAGACAAAAAGGGAGCGGAGAATGTAGTTGCAGACCACTTGTCTAGGATCACAAATGATGGAGGTAAGGATTCTACACCTATATATGATTACCTTCTTGACGATAATCTCCTTGCAGTTGTGTCACAGGGACCTTGGTATGCTGATTATGCCAATTATTTGGTAGGCGGTATACTACCTCTAGATATGTCCAATCAACAAAAGAAAAGGTTTCTCCATGATGTTAAATATTATTTTTAGGATGATCCTTTTTTGTTTCGTGAGTGTGCAGATGGACTATTTCGCAGGTGTGTCCCCAAATGGGAAGTGAACGACATCCTACAACTTTGCCACAACTCTCCATATGGTGGGCATCATGGCCCTTCTAAAACCGTAGCCAAGCTTAATGAGTCAGGATTCTTTTGGCCTACTATGTTCAAGGATCCGTAGTTATTCATAATGTCTTGTGATTCTTGCCAGAGGACCGACAATATTTCGAGGAGGCACGAGATGCCCCAACCTAGGATACTTGAAAATGAAATTTTTGATGTTTGGGGTATTGACTATATGGGACCATTCCCATCTTCCAATGGGAATTGTTACATACTCGTGGCCATTGATTATGTGTCTAAATGGGTCGAGGCCATTGCTTCACCAACAAATGATGCCAAGGTGGGCATGAAACTTTTCAAGAAGACCATATTTCCAAGATTTGGTGTCCCACGAGCTATCATTAGTGATGGAGGTTCTCACTTCCATGAAAGACAATTGGAAAACCTTTTAAAGAAGTATGGAGTCTACCATAGGACCAGACTTAGTTATCATCCTCAAACAAGTGGTCAAGTTGAGGTCTCCAATCGAGAAATCAAGTCGATTCTAGAAAAAGTGGTAGCTAAGTCAAGGAAGGATTGGAGTATGAAGCTAGATGACACAATTTGGGCGTACAGGACCGCATTCAAAACACCAATTGGTACTTATCCTTATAGAGTAGTGTACGGTAAGGCAAGTCATCTTCCCGTGGAATTGGAGTGCAAAGCTTTTTGGGAAATCAAGGAGCTTAATATGGATTCTTAGGTTGTGGGTGAGAAAAGATTTCTCCAACTAAATGAGTTGGATGATTTTAGATTGTTAGCGTATGACAGTGCGCGAATTTACAAGGAGAAAACCAAGAAGTGGCACGACAAGAAGATCCTACCAAGAGAGTTCGCACCGGGAGACAAGGTTCTATTATTTAACTTTAGACTCAAGCTCTTCCTAGGAAAGCTAAAGTCTAGGTGTTCAGGTCCCTTTATTGTCACTAAGGTGAATAAATTTGGTTCGGTTGAGCAATTGAACGACAAAGGTGAGGAGTTCAAGGTCAATGGTCAACGATTGAAGGTGTACCATGAAGGAGCAATTGTTGGAGTGGTGGAGGGAATCCACCTAACTCCCCTCTCATATTAGAGCTAAGGTACAAAGGTCGTGTGGGACCTTAAAAAACCAGCGCTTTACAGGAGGCAACCCGTACTTAATGCTTTCTAAACTAGTTTTTCTTTATTTATTTATTTTTTGAGGGGTGAGGAGAGTGAAAATTTTACATGTGTGAAGTAAGTTGTGCAGATTTTGAGCCATGAAGTAGGGAGATTTAACGAGAAAAAGTCAAAGAATATCACAAATCCGAATTGGGCAGTGGCCCAATTAGGCGGAGTTCGCTCGATTGGGCGCGCAAGTAAAGCTAAAAACTCAAAGAAATCCGCCCGATTGGGCGCGCAAGGAAAGAAAAATTTGGGCTGAAATCCACTCGATCGAGCAAAGCCTCCCGATCGGGGGCACAAAAAGACGAAGAAAAAGAATGGGAGCTCGCCCGATCGGGCTTGGAAAATCGAGCTATCTCAAAAGATATTCCGGGCGAAGCTCGCCTGATCGAGTGAGCTATCGAGGCTAGGAGCCCGCCTTATCGGGCGCTCAAGCGAGATTCTAGAATCCCTTTCCTTTGGGCAAAGGGCTGCCCGATTTGGTGCGACTTTTTACTCGTATCACCTTATTATCTTTTTCTCCTTCTTTCTTTTATTTTCTTCTTTCCTTCATCTCTTTCACCTTCACTTTCTCTCTCTAAACTCCATTTTCAAACCTTTAACTCCGTTTTTTAATCAAGATCTCTTCCAATTCTTTCATTAAACCTCAAAGATTTTACCATATTTTGAATCCTCTCACATTCTTCTACATTTCCCACCTAATTTCTCTTTTTCTTACACTTTTAGGAAACCCTAGAGAGAGAAAATCTCAAGTTCTTCATTAATCATCTTCCAAATGGCTACAAAAAGATCAAGAGGACAAATAGGAGAGCAATCAAGGCAACCAACTACACCCATGGTTGACCCGGAGCTTTTAATCAATGGATGAGAGAAGGTGGCGGTTACAAGCCAAGAACAAAAGCAAAGGATTCTCAATCTCATCTCTAGGTAGGTAATCGCTACCCGTTTTGTTCATCATCCTACTTTGATTAATATGGGAATAGTTAAACAAGTAGAGAAACTGTTTAAGGGTATTGGCATGACTAGCTTCTTTGATATGCATTCTGATACTTATGATTATCCAACGGTAGAGTTTATTTCTACTTTTAGCTTGAAAAAATCGAAATCAAATGCTTTTCATGTTCAATTTCGTTTGTTAAATAATGATGTGAGATTGTCTTTGAAAGATTTTGGTAAATTGTTTGAGTTGAAATCCGATAGATTACCCACTCCACCGAGGGACTTTAATGGTGAGGTTTACATGGCTCTCACGGGAGAGGTTTTAGAGAGCCTCCAACATGCTAAGGGCACCATTATTCATCACCCCGTGCCAAAGTTTTGGCAACGATTTGTAGGCCTCACAATCTTTGGGAGGCATGAATTGGCTAACGTTAGGGGCAATTAACTAGAACTCTTAGCCTCCTATTTGTACCCCGAGTATGGGAAGCTTAACATCCCATTAAAAATGGCCCAAAATTTCCAACGTAGTGCTAAGGCTTCCGAGATTTCAAGGGCGAGAACCCCTATTTACTTTGGTGGGTTGGTGACCCACATTCCGGTTAAATTGTTGGGGTTTGGGCCTAATGACCATAGGAGGGTGGATGGGAGTACTTTGATGGAACTTAGCTACTTAGGAGGGATTAATTGGGTTCAACCTACCCATGGTGTGAGTCGGCCTAATGAGTTGTGGTGGATAGTCCATAGAGAACCGAGTAAGAGAGACCGAGCTTTCAAACTGCCTAACCCTACTATGATTAAGTTTGATAGGGGTAAGACTTCTTACACCTACATTATTGACAATGAAGGAGAAGCTAAAGAAACTCCCCAAACTCCACCACAATTCCAACCTCAACCTCCATCTCATTTTGAACCCCAACCCCAACCTTACATGCAAGACATCCCCTCCTCTTCTCATGACTATAACATTGATCCTAATGCACCATATGACTTCTCGGCTTTTAGGGGCCATCTTTATAGGATTGAGAGAGGGCAAGGAAAGCTAGAGGGAATGGTTCAATCCCTTGATAGAAGGATGGGGTCACTTGATAGGAGGGTTGGGTATGTTGAGCGAAACCTAGGGAGAGGTTTATATCCCATGTATGATGATTATGCACGTCGAGGTGCTATTTCCCCCGAAGCTATGCTTCCCGATTGGTTTCAACCTCCCCAAGGAGGGTACATCGCCCCTACTGTTTATTGTTTTTATGTGGACTACTCTTCTGTCCATGGTCATGGGGCCGATGTTCCTTTTGGAGGGTTAGGTGGGAATGTGGATCCTAATTATTTTGCAGGTAGTTCGAGTCATGGAGGTGCCGGTTCTAGCCATGGAGGTGGTAGTGGCTATGCTAGGATGGATGCGGATGATGATGATGAGGAGTAGCTTTTCGTAGCTACACTCCCAAGTCAATGAGGGCATTGCTTGATTTGGCTTGGGGGAAGATGGTTTTGTATATATGGTATTCTTTCTCTCTTCTCTATTTTATTGCTTTCTTAGGTTAGATTTAATGCTTTCAAAAAAAAAAAATCCAAAAATACATTCCAATGAAAAGATATATCATGCTTCCCTGTGCCTCTTGATGAAAATTGTTTTGACTCTTGGTTATTGATAATGAACATTGTGGATTAGTTGGTCATGATTTGATGTTTGATTGCCTTGAAATTTTAACATGCGTCAATTTTTCCCAACTACTTGTGAATATAGTGCTTGACTAGTTGTTTTTGGTAAGGAATGTGTATTAGTTTCTGGTATATCAATGAAGTTGAGTATTGATTTTTAACTATGAGTAATGTTTATATGATTCACTATTATGCACAATGGGGAGGATGAAGGCGTTTGTTCTTTTAGGTGGTTTTCAGACAATTTTAGATACATTTGTTCCCTTCTTGCTACCCATGTTGTTGCCTTGACTTTTCATTGTTTATTTAGCCACATTACAAGCCTATTTTTCGCCATTGGTTACTAGTCCCAAGCTTGGCTTAGGGGAGCTATTAGTTAGTGAGGTGAGGGAATTGTAGTGTGCGCATAAATTGCACAATGTGGGTGAATAAGAGGAGTAATTTATTCTTTTGATGTTGTGTTTGGAAAAAAAAATGAGAAATTGTTGTTCAAAGTTGAAAAAATTCCAATGTGATATCAAAAGAAAAAAAGAAGAGCAAAAGTAAAAAAATTGTTTCAATGTTCAAGTGTTCTAATGAAGGTTGCTCAAAAGAAAAGAAAGAGAAATAAGTTTCAAGAAAAGAAAAAAAAAAATCAAGTTCAAAAGAAGAGTTCAAAGTTTGTTTGATTCACTCTAATCCTACATTGTTATATTTTTATGAGTGAAATGGTAAGTGTTGAAAATTGTGAAGAAATTGGTTTGGTTATTCGGTGAATTTTTGTAGCGTTGAGTTATGTTGGAGATGATTGGTTATTATTATGTTTGACCTTGGTTTTACTAGGATTTGGCTCGCTTAAGCATGGCTTAGCTCTCACATTTTCCCAAATGTTTCCTACCCTCTACCTAAGCCTTACATTTCCGACCTTTGTGCATAGAGTTGTGTGAATGTTAAAGTAATTGTTTGCCAATGCGAAGAATGATTAGATATATTCCAAGTCGACTACTAGGTTGAGTGTATGCCTTTTAAACACACGAGTGCATGAGTTGGAAGGGCATTGTTCACATATAAAGGGGTGGTTGGAGAGCGATCGAGTACATCCTTTACTCGCCACATAAATGAGAGTTGAGTGTGTGAGCACTAGTCTTGAATTCTATATGCTCTTGTGGTTTGCTCTACTTGACAATTGTTAGGAAAGATTGGTAATTGGATGGATTTGAGTGATTGCTTATGATGCATGTTTGTTGGATTGTCTTTGAGTTATATCATGGTTTTGAAATATATTTGGGGTGAAGTTTTGATTTGTTTGATTCATTGCCTTGCTTAGGGACAAGCAAGGGTTTGGCTTGGGGGAGTTTGATATATGTGTTTTATATACTATAAATTATCCCCCGTTCCACGGTCATTTTTATGCATATTTGTGCTCTTCAGGGCTATTTTTAGTACTAATGTGTGGTTTCGAGTATTTTGTAGAGTTGGCATTTGTTTAATAGAAATTTTCCGGATTTGTCAGTAATTTCTATGGTTTTCCAGCCACTACGAGATATCGAAGCTTATGCTCACATTCATGATCGTCTTTCGTAGCCCAAGAGTGATTATTTCGGTGACTAAGGGCTTGGTTCGTGGAATTGGTCCAAGTAATGGACCAAGGAAGAGGAATTAGGCCACAAGTGTTTGGAGCCCAAAGGAAAATAAGAAAAAATACCGGGCCCGATCAGACGACCTATGGCCCAATCGGGCGGATGCCCAGAAAGGCGGTTTGAGAAAAAAGGCTGGCCCGATCGGGCGCGTGTTTTTCCTGGAGAGTTTAGGACTTTTAGTTATTTTTGGGTTTAGTATTTAAACTCTTTTTGTAAGCTTTATTAGCTATGTTTTTACATTATAATTTTCATTCTTAAACTTTGAGAGAGATTTTAGAAAAAGATTTTTGTTGAACTCAAGTTTTCCCCTTTTAGTGCAATTTCACATTTCCTTCATTCGATATTA